ACCATGGATGCATGGCTTCTTCAACCTCTCCTACTCTATGAATATATCTTTCCAAGAGTGGTTTTTGCTATGTTTAAATACCATGCTAGTTAAATTATTCTTCATAATTTTATATCTTATTTCTGCTAAATATGTACCTTATTGTCTGTGTTGATCACAGACACAAACACAGACACAGACACAAACAAGATTGTAACTTGTTTTATTTTTAATGATAAGTACTATTTAATATATATTTATTTTCCCAGTGACAATTATTTGCTTTGTTTCTAGCCCTTAATATGAAATAAAATACAGTAAACATTTTTTTTCAATATTGAGAATCAAACCATGACTTCATGCTTGCTAGGCAGGCTCTTCTGCCACTGAGCCAGCCCTCAGAGTAAACATTCTTGAAGAAATATTTCTATGGACACATATTTCTATATTTCTCCTGGAAACACATAAAAATTAAATTCCTTGGCCAATATGGAAACAGGTATATGATGACTCTTCCTATACATATTATATCTAGACATTTAACCATATCTGACAGTATCACTGTATCTAAAGCTATCATTTTCCAAAATGATTTTACTATCCGCTTATTGCTCTGCATTCTCAATAATAGTTTTATTGTATTCTCTAATTCTAGTCATTTAATTGATTGAAAGTTTTGCAAATGATTACTATTTGTCTTACTTTAATGACTGATAATTAAAAGTTTACGAGTTTATTAATCATTCATGTATGTTTTTATTTTGAGCAATTCCAAATCGGATTGGGTTTTTAAAGTTGTGTTGACTGGTTATATGATTTAGTTACTTAATTTCATATATTTTCTGTTAATTATGAAAACAAGTGATTAGTAAAATATTCTCACAGACTATTTCTTGATATTGTAATGTTTTATTTTGATAAGTAACTACTTTAGATGAATCTTATTGGAAATTTTCTTGTGCTATGGCTAAGAAAATGAATCTTATGCAAAATTTTATTTAAATTGTTATAGTTTTAAGTTTTGTATTAAGATCTGTGATATATCTTAAGCCAGTTCTACACACAGTATAAGATAAAGGTCAAAGTTAATTTTTTCCTTGTATCTATAAAGTTCTACTTGCATCATTTGGGGAAAGGACTATTATTTGGCTTTTGAATTGCTTTGATGTCTGTGCCAAGAATTTTTAGACTGGAATTTTACTTCTAGGAAAAACTGAGTAAAAGAGTTCTGATTAAAAATTCTTTGTTTCTCACTTTGGCAGCACATGTACTAAAACTTGTTTTTGAAATAATTAAGATAAAACAGACAAAATATATAAAATCATGTCCTCCTGACATTTGCTACTAGGTAGCACAGTGATCTGCAAAGAGAAAATTAAATTGAGCCTTAGAATTGTTTCTGTTTAGTGTCTGCACAACATTTTGAAACATTACATATACTGGATCTGAGCTGGGGTACCTGGGAATTGATTTCAGCATGTGGAGCCAATTCCCCTGCTGGCTCCAAGGCAGCTGGAATCTGCAAGGGCAAGCAGCAGAGAAGAGAGAAATTCCAAGACAGGAAAATTCTGGTGATCTACAAATAGCATGTCAAGAGTCATCAGCATATGAGGAAAATCACAGACCGGAATGGGGGAAGGGATGGGCCATCCAACAGAACACAGAGAAACACCCTCAGAATCAACTCAAGACCAGAAAAACTTTCTTGAGAAATGGGGCATTGAGCAAAGTACTCAGAAGATTGTTTTCTAAATAGCATAGCAAGAAAGGCTATCGTAATCCTTCATAACTCATTTAAAAGTAAGATAATAAAGAGAGAAGTTAATTCCATGTAAATGAACTATGTTCTGGATAAAAAGCCTAAGAATATTTATAAGAATAAAAAATATCTGCTATAAAGCAATATTATCAGATGTTAAACAGAAAATACATATATTACAAAAATAAATAGGAATTAGAAACACATTCAGACATTTCTTGTACAGAAGACAAAGAAGTACTGATAACACAATTTATGTCATAGTCAAAATTATATTTAATGAGATTACTGGTAAGGTAAAAAAAGTCAAGATCACTGCTACAACTCAACTTACCAGTAATCTCATTAAATATAATTTTTGAAATACTTGAAATAAGTGATGGTCATACTGAAATAAAGAACAAAATACCTGCATCCCAATATATATGTCCTACAAATTGCTTTTAATATGAAAAAATTACATGAAACTTATGGAATAGAAAAGTTTATATCATAGAAATAATTACTTTATATTTCAAGGAAAGAGACACTATGGTGACTACTATTATGTCAGGTTATCTGGTGGTGAAACCCAATGATGCTTAAATTGCTTAAATTGTTCGGTTCTGACCTGTGTTGTTCTGTTGATATGTCCTCTTTTATCTCAATCTCCCCCCCCCTTTTTTTTTCTTTTTAGGAAAAACTAAATTAAAAAATATCAGGATATATTATAGTAATTTTTTTTTGTTTTCCTAATAACCTGATTTGAACCCCTGTAATGCTCTCCCCATCTTGCTCTGACTGATTTTACTAATTCTGTTTTGTTTGATAATATCAAGTTTGAGGATATAGGCAACCACTCTGAAGGCAATAAAGATTTACTATGATACCCATTATGGTTTGACTATTATCTTCTTTTGAAGTCCTGTAAGGTCTCCAATGTAGGTTTTATTGGTCTTGTTCTGAATTGTTTTGTTCAATTCTACTATACCTGATGATATAGGCAACTCTTTTTAAGATAGCAAGAGGCATAATGGTAACCACTGTTGATCACCTGGTATTATTGTTTTTGTCTCATGTACTATATCCATCCTTCTGTTCTGACTCTGTTTTACTTTGTCACATTTGGTTTCTTTTTTCTCTCTTCAAAAAAAAAAAAGTTATAAGAACTGTGGGAGCAATAAAACCCAAAAAGTGTAATTGTTATTGTAAAAAAGAGGGGGGAAAAGGTGATCTAAAGGATATAACTGCATGTATGTTTAAGTGTGTAGCATAGAAAACCATATTACCGAGTTTTTGTTGGATCATTGAACAGAACTGCTTGCAATCTCACTGTATGAATATCCACTTTGTATGCTTTAATTTTGTAATTTGGACAACTGTTTCTGGGATGAAAATGTGTAATCTATTAACTAGTGATTCCTTACTGTATATTTTTTTCTTGAAATTCTGTATTACTTGCACCCTTTTACTGCTTTGTTTTGATTTTCTCTCTTTAAAAAATAAAAAACTTGGGCTGGGGATTTAGCTCAGTGGCATAAGCGCCTGCCTTGCAAGCAGGCAGTCGTGAGTTCGATCCCTGGTACCGATAAAAACGAAAAAGACGAAAAAATAAATAAATAAATAAATAAATAAATAAACATTTTTAAAAAGAAATAATTATTTTATAAAAGCAAGTTTCAATACTAAAACAAGGCACAATACATTTCAAAGCAAAGAAAGTAACTTGAGATAAAAATAATTATTTTATAACAGTAAAGGAGCCAAATCATTAATACATTTCTCCCTCATTCACAGCTTCATAATAATCATAAATTTTAATAATTCTAAAAGTTTACCTAATTTTAGATTTAAAGTATATGAAGCAAAAATTGACATAACTACAAGGATATACATAAACAATTATAAATAAATTTTCTAGAAACTTTTTCTTAATAAGTGATTGAAAAGAGTATACAGAAATTCAGTAAGCTACAGAGTATTTTAAACCATGTTACCAAACAAATTAAGTTGTAAATGTACAATATATTATCCAATAAGACAGAATAGACATTCTTCACAATTATGCATGAGACCTTCCAGATAAAAACATGCATTATAAATATTGCTATAAAATTTCTCAAGATATTCAATATAGTTTGCATACTCACAATGGAGGTGAATTAATAATAACTATTAGAATCATATCAGGGCAATAACAAATTACAAAAATTAATTATTTTAAATTGATATAGGAAATCAATGTAATACATCAAAATTCCAATACACTTTTATAGCAATTGACTCTGAGATGCATGACAATATGTAAAAGAATAGATTTTTATAAAGCCCTGACAGAGAACACAATGCTAACAGTACAGCATTTCAGTACAGACTTCAAATTTTATTACAAAGCTACAACAAGCAAAATGTTGCTTTAGAGTAACACTAGGAAAATACTGAGTCAAATCCAATATTATTGATTACTCTGTTCTACAGCCATTCAATGAGCAAAAAGCAGTCTTTCAACAAATGCTATCAGGACTATTGATAACAACATGCAAAACAAATGAACACAAATTTATAAAATTTTCACTTTTAATTGATACACATAAAATTACTTTCCTAAAAAGAATGACAATTGCCCAATTTAAAACTTAACATTTGAGTGGATTTTCAATAGACAGCGCAAAGAAAAAGAGATTTTACTTTGGATTCTGTAACAATTCCTCTACTAAACTTTAAAAGAAAATACGATCTATGGAATAACAAATTTGTAAGTTGACCATCAAAATTAAAGGTGCCTACTCTTTGGAAAATAAAGATGCCTACTAAATATTTTTTTAAAAAGCTGTAATCTCAAAAGAGTCTGCAAGAGGGATACCTAGCAGTGTTTCTACTCAGACAGATATTAAAAACCTCACAAAACTCATTAAAAGAAAAATAGCTACCTTTTTTTTTAAATGAGCAAAGAAATGTCTATAAAAAACAAGTATGCCTTGTACATTTCCAAAAGCAAGAAAGATTTTGAAAGGCACTAGCATAAAGAATTGACAAATATTTTCAGCAATAAGTATGTTTAACTTGACTAAATTAACGTATGATATCTATATGTATCTAAGCATACTATGGCATTTCATTTATATATGTATGTATCTTAATTATGTCATAAATACATCTATAATAAAAAGCAAGCAAGACTTTCCCCTAACAAACATTGATAACAAGGTATTTCAAATAAAAGCTTTCAAATAAAAGTAATAAGATATTTCAAACAAAAGCTCACTAGAGAAACACAAGTTAATATTTTAAGGATATATCATTATATATGAAATATCAAAATTTAAAAAGACTAAAATAACAAATGGTGACCAGGATACAAAAAAATTGAAATACTAAACTACTGTTGGTAATGTGAAATAATATAATGACTTTGGAAACCATTCTAATAGGTTTTTTTAATAAGTTTTTCATACAATAACCATACATATCAACCATTTAATTCTAAATATTCATATGGAGTGTTATGTTGAGTGTTCCTAGGAGCTTTATTTTTAATGATAGCTAAACTAGAAAAATCCAAACATGAATAAAACGATTATAGAACAAGATAAACTGAGATATATTTATGCAATAAAAAAGCTTCTCAGAACTAAAAGGCAAAGAACTGTTGATGCATATTCCCACATAGATGATCTTCCAAATAATTCTCCTGGAAGAAAACACAGCAATGTCAACAGAAAGTATCTGCCATAATATTTCATTTAGACAAAAGTCTAAGAAATACAAACTAATCCTCGTTACACAAAAGTAGATCTATGATTCCCTATAAGTAGGAAGGGCAATGTACAAAAATAACAAAACAGTCAACAAATATTAGAATGCTGAGGGTGATTGTTACTTTCATTGTCTTATTATTTTTATGATAGTTTTGCATGAATATGCATACATAAAAGCTGTCCAAATCATATAATTTAAATATGCTCATTTTATTATTTATTTTAATTCAGTGATGCCCATTTAAAGTTATTAGATCAATATCTTGTGGTTAAATAAATAAACATTCATTCTCATAGGTATTCCATTTTGTAAGGCTCAGCTGGTTCCACACAGGACCAACTGGATGGATCTGTTTTATAACTAAAAACCAGATCCACACAAGTTAAAGGAAGAAATGTTTATTTGGGCTCACATTTTAGAGGTTTCAGTCCATGGGCACTGGCTCCTGGGCAGGGTGGCACGGCCGAGGCACCTGGCAGAGGAGAAATCATCCACTGCAGACAGAAAGCGACATCAAACCTTCCTTTTTTTTTTTTAATCCCATCCACACGACAAGTCTATGGGAAGGTGCCACTCACACACAGGGTGGGTCTTTCCCATTATTTACCTCCATAGCTATGCTAAATCCATCAGTCGTCTAAATTAATTATCATATTCTTTGTCTACATTCACATACCTTAGATTCAGTGGCCTTTGAAAAGTGCCTCCCCTTAGGAGTATATGAGGCTTTGTGGACTTCTAGATACAAACCATAACAACCTGTACATTACTGAAAGTCTGTGGGTAACTTTGAGTTGTTCAGGTTCATATGTCTCTTATTCATTTTTTACTAGTCCACCTTTTAACCAGTAGAAGATTCTTATGACAATGACATAAATGAAGGAAGATGAATAGAAACAAGGAAAGCCTCTGAGCATACAACTTATATACAACTTCCAAGAGTATACAAACACTCTTGTTTCTGTAATATTCAAGCAAGTCACATAATGAATTCCAAAGTCAAGGAAGGAAATATGTGCTGCAACCGTTATGAGGTCATCGTAAGATATGTTTGAAAAGCTAGGTCAATGTTGTAATCTAAAATGCAGAATAAATATAACATTATGTGCAAAATAAGCAATATTTTCTAAGAAATAATTTGAAGGAACAAATTATTTACTTAATAATTTAATTTTTTACTTAATAATATTTACTTTACTTAATAATTTTCCTCTATATTGTGAGCTCTCTTCTTCTAAAACTCAGTATATGAACTCATATCTTTAGGCTTCAACACTAAATAGTTACAAGTATTTGAAGATTGGTTTGTCAAATAAATTGTAAAAAAATACATTATTCAGCATATTATTATAAGTCCCTTGAGTCTATTCAAAGCAAAAGCAGAAAACAGCTTCCAGCCACCAAAATTAGCTGTATAGTTTTCTCGAGTTAGTCATCAGCTATTATCATTGGAATGAAAAACTTGAAATTCTGAGCTAAATAACATTTCTCAATTACTATACCTTTTCTGGGTTGAAATCCTCAGATAGTTTATTTAAGTATTTTTAAACTCTTTGGAATGAGCACTCATCCAAACATCCTTCATGTTTTCACATTTTCCCCAGTCTTCTAAAAAAAAAAAAATACTTAAGAGAATTTAAAGGTGAGTCATATGTACATAGATTTTGGAAAATGTTAAAAGTCATTACTCACCAGCATGGATGGGTAATTCAGCTGAGTAACATCTCTGCCCACATGGTGTCCTACTTAGTGTAAGAGGAAGTTAGAACTTTGGATATCTCTTGGCTAGATACACAGTATAAACAGATATTTTTGAGGCAAATCAAGTTGTAAAAAGTAAGTTAATAGCTCACAGAAATTATTTCTTTGGGGTGAAATACGTATGTTTTCAAGAAAACTTCAGGTAAAACAATATTCATATTTTAATCTGAACATAAAACATCGCAGCAGTGTTCCTTAGATGTGCAGTCAAAACATTCAAACCAAAGGGACAAGAATCTCTCAGAACATTTTCTTCTTTGACATTTCTAAGTGCTTGCTTGCAGCAAGAGGAGAGAGCAGGAGAAAAAAGAACAGAGTTAACTAGATCATTTTTCACACATATTTGATTTTCTCTGTTAACTATTCTTTAAAACTGGATAACTCAAGAAAGATTGTTATATACAAAACCAAGTGTGTGTATATTTTTCAGAACCTGCTGTCAAAACAGTATTTGTTTTTCTGGCCATTAACGCTGCAGAAAAATGAAGAGGGAAGTAAAAAGAAAATATGAAAGTTTAGAAAACATTTATTACTTGATCCCCGGGCACAAGTCAAAAGAAGGTAAATATAAAATAATAATGGTTCTAAAACTGCAGATTGAACTGTGGTAGAGGAGACCAGGCTGTGTGCATATCACATCCGTCCTTCTGATCTTAGGATTATGGCACTGAAGGAGAGGAGGGTCCTGCTCTAGGGAAAACGGATCCTAGTTGGGAAGGTAAATGTCAAGGAGGAAATAAGGTCAAAACATAAAATCATAACCAAAGGTAACAACATTGATTTGCGCAGAATGCCAGCTAAAATCATTCAGAATTGGAAAGCAGAATTAGAGTGGAACAGGAAGAAAGAAAATGAAAGGGTTACAAGGCCGTTTCTCTGCAGTGTGTGGAAATGCTGGCTTACCAGTCCGGTGACATTTTAGTAGCAGGATATTTTAGAAAAAGTGTGTATCCTATGCACAGATTCATGTTTATTAAAAGAATATGGTGGGTATTTAGAGGTCTTTTCCCTTTTTTTTTATACTCTATCGGCGAACCTTGGATGTATATTGGTTAACACAAGGTAGTTTTCATCCTGATATCTTCAAGCATGGAACTTTGACATTAGTATTTCTGTATCTACCAATTTATAAAGTGGAAAAACTTGCATGGTAAAGTTCTGAACGAACAGAAGAGCAAGGTCATCTGCTGATACCTGCTGATGGTGAGAGCAGCAATTAAAATCTAAAACCCCATTTCCCTCAGGCGTCCACATTTAAAGATATGCTTTTTTGCAGGCCACATTGCTCTTGTTGCTTTCTTTAATTATAATTATAAAGATGAATCAGCATACCATAATTATCAAACATGACTCACAGAAACTGCTTTATTCAATCTGCGTACATTAGTGGCCTTGGCATTTACTGATTCATCATTTCTTTTTTTTGATTACTTGAAATGATTTTAGTGGTATATGTCACATTTCAAAATTAGGTAGGTACATGTTGAGAGCTGGAAAATGTACTTTTTCATGTGCCATGAAGAGGAATTGGGACTGTTCACTTAACTAGCCTTTGCCCTATGAGATCATCATAGGGTCACTTATGGAAATAATGTAAAACCATTGAATGACATGACAAAGATTTTACAACTCATCATAGATTAGAAAAAAGGAAGGTTAACAAATAAAAGCAATGTAATCATGGTCCTCTCAATCAAATCAGTGTCCATGAAAATAAGGAAAAGAGAAATCACTACAATATACCCTAAATGTTATAGTAATTTACTTCCTAAATATTATTAATTGTATTTTATAATTTTTGTTATTTGTTTTCATGGTATTTATTTATTTTGTCATTTATGAGCCTTATAGCTTGCTGATAGGAGATGAGTTTGGTGAGAAGATACATATATATATATATATATATATAATTGATATATATATTACTTTTACTGTAAGTGTCATATACATTAATCACATAAACAGCAAAATACCTTTTTCCTATTGAAAAAGGAATTGGTCTCTCTGAATTTTAGTTAATACACACATATCAAGAATATTGTCCCCGTCCTTTCTTTGTCATTAGATACATTACCTGACAGCTGCAATTTAAAAGAGAAAAGATTTATTTTGGCTCAGTTTTTAGAGGATTCAGCTCATAGCCTGCTAGATTCAAGACAGGACAGCCTGGCAAAGGGGCATGGCAGAAGAGCAGGTGCTTGGGTCATGGTGGCTGAGAACCAAGCAGGGAGTTGGAGAGGGAAATAAACCCTTGCAGCGCCCCTCAGTGACCTGTCTTTTTCCACCAGACCCATCTCCTAACTCTAAGTTATAAGCCCTGTATTCCAATTACATTAAAAAAAAGCCCTGTCTATATATGCATGAGGCTCTTGGGGGACTTCCAGAAATAAACCATAACAGATATGACTTGCTTTCAAAGTCAGATACCTTCCCATTACACTCTGTCTGCAGCTCCTTACCTGTCAGAGCTTTTGCCTCATTTAAGATATCCTGGTATGTACAGGCTTGGTAGAATTCCCACAGCTCCCATCGTGATCACCACAGTACTGTAATTATGATGTTGATACTGTTAGTATAATAAATTCTTTTACTGCATATCAAGAACCATGGATATTTTTGATTTTCGCTAGAAATGCAGTAATAAAATTCATTAAAGGATAAATATAAATCCAAGGAAAGGGAAAAAATATTTTCAGAAAGTAGACTTCATCTGTACTTTTCATAATTTAGGCATTAAATAAAGCAGTTTTCATAAATTAATTAATAGCTTGAATATTAAAATGCATTTGATTTATGGCAATAAGAAAAAAATGCATCTGCATCAAGGTTTTGAAAGAAATGAATCATTAACATCTTTAAATAGGACACAGACTGTATATGTTCACCTCACAGTATAATACACTTAAGAATAATTTTTAAATAACCAAGTTTAAAAGACTCAAAATCAAATTCAAAAATTGGCTTAGGGAAAAATGTAAATCCATTAATATATTTTTAAATGCCAAAAATATTCTGCATAACCAAGCTCTGGAATACAAACATTTTCATTCTTTTGAAGAGTTTTAAACATGAAATATTAGGAGAAAATATTAACAAATCACAGTTCTACTTTGATTTCATAATGGAAGCAAATTAACAAGAGAATACACTAGAAAATAACAAACATTTGAAAAATTTTAAGGAACATACAAAATATAATTGATAAAAAGGTAATTTGTTTTCTTATTTCCAAAACTATTTGAAAAATCTGAAAATTTCGCAAATAATAGCAGATTTTAAAAAAATAAATATGATCAGTATAACTTTTAAAAATTTGTCCACATGTGAAAACATCTGATATCATTCGTGGTATAATTTCATTTAAAAATTGACTATAAACAAAATTGACACATAAAGTTACAAACAGTATGACACTGTTACTGAAAACTAGATAAAAACATGAATATCGAAAAGGAGTCAAAGAACACATAAAGATTCAATGTAGGCCATATCTTTTAAATTTCAAAGACAAAAGAAACCTAAAATCAACAGATTTAGGATAGAAAAAAAGGCATTGTTTTTCAACTCATTGTAGTAAATATGGTGTTAAGTGTAAAGCATGATGAGGATGTTAATAGGCAGAGGATAAACCTTTCTCACTTCTCCATGAAAATAGGTAAAGGATCTAAAATCATTTATAAATTACTACAATAAAGGGTTACTTTTCAGAATAATATGGCTTATTCTCAGAATAAAAGGAAAAAATAAGCTCACCAATGCTAAGAATACAAATTAAAATACAGGATCACAAATATATAAGAACAATATTAGATGAGCTTACAAACATAATTTTTAAAAGCAATTAATAAAAGATACTGCTATTTACCACAAAGAATGGTATTTTTCAAGAAGTCAAAAAACAACAAATGCCATTATGGCTGTGGTGAAAAATAACTTTTGTATGTATTTGATGGGAATGTAAAATAGCACATCCAGTATAGAAGTCAGTATAACGATTTCTCCGAGTCCTAAAATTGGGGATTCCATGTGACACAGCTCTCCCTGCGGTCTGACTCTTTCTCAAAATGCTAAAAATATCATAATGCATATCAATGTTTATAGCAGCACCATTCATAATAGCTAAATCCTGGAAGCAGCCAGCACACCCACAGAGAAATGTGAAGGGAAACACATGAAATACTACTCAGCTATAAAAGAGGATACATTAAAGATAGTCGTAAGAAAATGATTACTTCTCTAAAATGTGATGATGAGTGAAGTAAATCAGTCCCACAAGTTTAAATACCATATGCTGGCTCTCATTGAAATAAGGCAAAGTACAGACAAACAATAATAGAGGATAGAAGGAAACCAGAGGAAAGATCACTGGCAAACAGGAAGGAGTACAGAGACCAAAGATGAGGGGGAGGGGAAGTAAACAGAATTAAGATAGGAATGTACCGGAACCTAAGCTAAGAATACTCTCACTGCAAGGGGTGTTTAATCCTACTTAGGGTAGGGAAGGGAGGGGTGGAAAGGGGACTGACAATGAAACACCTATTAGGACATGTACTCACTCCCCAAGAGAGACATAAACATCATGCCTCCTGCAAACATGCAACTGTGAGAGGAAACAAAGTAGCAAAAAGCAACAGGAAATCTCATTTCAATTGCCTTCCCCTCAGATCTAATTGCAGTAAAATAAAGATTAATTTTCCCAAGATAAAGACAATGCAAAGAAGGGTGTGGCCACTAATTTTTTGGGGGGCAGAGAGACTTTTTTTAAAGAAAGCATAGCGAAGTATTATTGGTATCCTGTTTCTTAAAATCAGGATAAAGAAGAACCATTCCAAGTCCAGTTGTTAAGCCATGGCTCATTTTCTGATCACTGAATGCCATAACCTCTGCCTAACACTGTAGTCCACCATGGTCTGTACACTTCAGAAAGGAGAAATACTTATCTCTGAGCCCTATCCCTATTTTTCTTCTCTTAATGTGATTTATGTCTGTCTTGTATATCGTTCATTTCTCTCCAGCTAAGTATTTCTAAGACTCATTGATTTAGACAGTAATATTGTTATCTATATGACATTTTACTATGTATCAGAAAGTAATCTGGGAATTTTGAATTTTATCTGACTCAAAAAGCTCCATTATTAATATCTACATTTTATTGATTTGAATTTGAGTCCAGGGGTTTATGCCCCTTGCCTGAAGTTTAACCTACGAATGAATAATCTAATGTGAAATTTTAAGCTTAAGATTCTAATCCTATAACAATGTTCTTTCATAGGGTTTTGTTGTTTTTAGAAGTTTTATTTTCCTGGGTTGGAAGGTACAGTCTCACAAATATTATCTCAGTCTCAGCTATGTAGGTATCTTAACTTTATTTTTTAAAACAGTTCTTCATTTATATCTGATTTGTTGATATTTATGTGCATGGAAAATAACCAATCTGAAATGTAAGCTTCTTGAAAACAAATTTCTAGCAACTTAAATTAGTCAGAGATGTAGATAGTGCTGTTACTGACGATATTTATTTACTTGTTTAGTACACCAGAAATTGAATCCAGGGCCCTCACACTGTGATATCTTTTGATATTTTTATACATATATTTTTTAATTTTTAGTAAGTTCTTGTTCAGTTGCTGAGTTGTTTGGGCTTGGGTTAACCTTGATATCTTTCTACTCAGCTTTCCCAGACTTCTGGAATTCAAGGTGTGTGCCATCACACCCAGCTAAGAATATATGAAAATGAAATTCATCATTTAGTTATGCTTGTCAAAGCTGATTTCACAATACTCCCTCCAATTCCAGTCAACTAGCACAGACTTCATTCTGCTTTTGTCAGTTTCCAGATTTGTAACCTCTTTCTCCAACAGCAAGAAACTTAGGCTACTTATTTATTATTTGATCAGCCTCTCTTGTGTACGTACCGATTAATTGCCTCCACTCCCTTCTCCATGTGGCTGTTCTCCTCACTCCTCTGGGGCTGTGCTCTGCTCCCCCAGTACCCTCCTGTCACCGCCATGCCTGGTAACCCTTTCCCCATACCGTCCAGCCTCCTGTGCCAGGCTGCTATGAAGTCTTTTTTCTGGTTCCAGGTGTATAAGCCACCTGCTTGGCAAAGACTAACAGTAGTGAATTCATTATTCCAAAAAGAAGAATAAACAGAGAAAGAAGAGGGAAAGAAAGAACGCTAGGGAGATACAATGGTAATGGAAAAGTAAGTGATTTTTAAATTTATACATTTATTGTGTGCAAAGAATATTAATATTAAAAATTATCTACCAAACATCTCTTGGGAAAAAAGTAATTACAAACTTACAAACTACCAAATCACAAAATTCCTGAAAACAAATAATAAAACCCTACACATCACATTATAGAGCTACCATCAAATACATTTTAAAAGAATGATCAGGCAATTCACATTCTTTCGAATTCATAAATTTATACCAGTGATCATGAAGGAATAATAGAAGCTGAATTATATTCTGATCTTAAGCAATAAGAAAATAAAGTTCGAATTAAGAGCCAGGAAAGAAATAATAATGATAAAGCAGCCAAGTGGTTAAAAGCAAGTACTAAAATAAACTAGTAAATAAATGAAATTTTTTTAGAAAAAAACTAGGTTTTTAAAAAATACTAAACATATACAAAATCAGAAATGACAAAAGATAGCTGTTAAAACAGTGTAATAATAA